CAGAGGAGCCTCCAGAGCCTCAGGAGCCTCCAGCCACTCCAGACAGGCTCCATCTCCCACAGCTCCCCAGGGTGAGGGTGGGCAGGTCCAGCCCGGCCCGTGGGCACAGGGAGGGCTGGCAGGGAAGGTGGGAAGGGGGTCCTGCTGGGATGGAGCAGCAGGTTGCAGCCCAGTCCTGCCCCACGTGGGGGGTGACAGGGGAGGGGGGGATTAGGAAGCCCCTCTCCATCTGCCCTGATTCAGTGGGAGCACAGGCTGCTCCCAGAGCCCCTGGAATGGTTCAAGGGGCAAAAGGGGCCCAGCACAGGTAGGGAAGAGCAGTGGCACCCCCAGCTTTGCCTGCACGGGTGGGGAACCAGGGGATGCTGCTTCCCTGAGCAGGGCAAGATGTGCCCTGGAAGATGCTCCAGCTGCCCCCCAGCAGGGACCACTCCCCACCCTCACCCCCTGGCAGCGAGGGGGTCACGTGGGATCAGCTGAAGGAACGATGCCCTAAACTCAAGACACAGATTTTGCTGCGCTCCGGGAAGCGGCTCCAGAGAAAAGTGAGCTGGGACCTGTCCTTTGGGAATGCCTGGAGGAGCAGGATCAGCAGAGGCTGTGCCAGCAGGATGGAGCTGGCCTTGGTAAGTTGGGAATTCTTCCAGAGGTGGGCTGGAAAAGCTGCCACACGCTGAACACAACTTGGAATAAGTTGTTCCTACAGGCAGAGCCCATCCCACGGGAGCTCCATCCCGGGAGCACCGAGGAAGGAGCAGCAAAGCAGAGCCTGGGTTCAGTCCCAGCTTAATCTTCCACCCACCCAGTTCAACAGCCCTGGGTGTGAATGCTGAGCTCCACACCGAGCAATTCCAGCATGGATGTGTCCAGGGAAAAGCTGCTTTCCCCAGCCTTGGTCCTGCCAGGAGCTCCACGACCCTGTTTGGACCCCAGGGAGAACCTCTGCTGGTCGAGCTTTGATCCAGGTTGGGTTAGGAATCCTCTGATCCAGGGTTGGGAATCCTCTGATCCAGGTTAGGAATCTTCTGATCCAGGTTAGGAATCCTCTGATCCAGGTTGGGTTAGGAATCTTCTGATTCAGGGTTAGGAATCTTCTGATTCAGGATTAGGAATCCTCTGATCCAGGCTGGGTTAGGAATCCTCTGATCCAGGATTAGGAATCCTCTGATCCAGGTTGGGTTAGGAATCTTCTGATTCAGGGTTAGGAATCTTCTGATTCAGGATTAGGAATCCTCTGATCCAGGCTGGGTTAGGAATCCTCTGATCCAGGATTAGGAATCCTCTGATCCAGGTTGGGTTAGGAATCTTCTGATCCAAGGCTGGGTTAGGAA